CAAACAACAAATATTTTCTCTAGTTTTTTTTTTTTGTTTTTTTCACCAATTTAGCAATGTCCAGATGTAGCAGACTCCACCCACTCCGCTCCTCGCTGCTGTCAGGTTAAAACAAAAAGCTCAGAGTTATTTTCCGATACAGTTCAGGCCAGGTCTGGTGGACTGTAGGCAGCCATATGGAGAGGGAGCTCTGGAAACATCCCATTACAGGTCATATATCACACGTCTGACAGCAGCCATTCTGCCTTGTTTTCATTTCAATCACGAGTGCAGCTGCGCTGGAGAGCAGCGAGGCTCTGCCACGTTAACCCGCTGAAGGCTGGGAGACAGTCACCAGGGGCACAAAATGCACCCTGGGGTGTTTAACGTATCTGCTCGATGCTTCATGTCCATCAACAGCAGCCAAAATGAGTCTGGTTAATGTAGAGTTTGACCGTTGTTGTTCTGAAGGTCAATGCAGATATTTTTGTCTCTGAGCTGCAGATGTCCGATGTCTCATGTTTTTATTTTTGTCCGTGTTTGAAGTTCTGAGAAATTCATGTCAGGCTGCAACAGCATGAAAACACTGTTTACTCTACTTTAAGTGGCAGCTGTTTGTATCTAAAGCAACTTTTACAGGCAGGTGTGTCAGGTAGGGTCTCGTCTTGCTGCCACCTGTAGTGTGTACTCAGAATCAGCTGTGATCATGTGGTACTTTATTATTACTGTGGGAGAAAATGTTAAAGGAAATCATCTTCCTGTGTAAAAAGATTTGATTCAGAGATAGATAGAAACTGGGTTTAAAATTTGTATCTTCTTGGCTACAGTTTTATTGTTGATGGAGCAGGTGAAAATTAGTTTTTAAATGAAGCTTTTAAATGAATTGCACCAGGTGAGCGCTGATGCCCTGAGGGGCGGGTCCCCAGTTCAACCTCCGGCCGGACTCCTTGGTGCATGTCATTCCCCTTCTCCTTGTCCCTCTGCCCCCCTCAACATATTTTCATTGTCTGCAGGGGTTAGATCCTAATGATGCTTATTTCACACGTTAATAGTTTGTTTACATGTTAGCGTGTTAGTTAAAGTTAGTTAGCTGACGTGTTGGACGAATGAGACGAAGCGGAAATTTGTTGGTGGATGAGAAGTGAGAGGATAACCAACATCCTTACGATTCGTCCTCTGAGGAGGACCAGACTTAATGGCAAACCGTCCAATAGTTTTCTGAGACATATGAGCTGTTCTGGACAAAAGTGTTGGACAGATCAACGCTGCCTTTCCTCATCGCACCACATGTGTTGTTCCTTTTGAAAAAATGGCAAATGGATTCACTTTCTGAATTGATACGATACAAACGCCTCTTGTTACGTCCCTCATGTACCTCACTTGGAAACGGCCCTGAACGCATCTGTAATTCTCACTGAGCTGCTCTTGAGCAAGGCACTTCCTGTCGACCTCAGCTGCTTCAGCGGAGAGCTCTGATTGGTACTGAACAAGAGCCTCTGCGTCTTCCCTGAGTGCATGAAGCTCAACAAAGAAGCGGAGCAAAATCTTTGTGGCTTTTTGTATTACTCCCCTTAACAAAGTACCTTCTGCCCAAAACCAAGTGAGTGTGAGCTGATTCGCTGAGATCTCCACTTTGGGAGCCGCTGCTGTCTGGCCGTAGTGCTTATTTGTAGACGATCAAACCCGCTTCCTTCCACTGTGTAATCTGTCCCACATGGATTTCCTACAGAGTCCATTAAAATGTAGCGTATAGAGGGGCAAATGAGGAGAAATGGAAACAGTGAAAAATAGGTGCCCTCGACATGCGGCTTTGATAGAAACCTCTGTCATGTTTCAGTCTGTTTGAGTGAAATGTGATTTGTGAGGTTCTGCCAAGCCTGCGCGGCCGCTCTCGATCCCAATCTGTCTCCGAGATGGACACGACGCAACTTCATGTATTTGTAATCTTCCATCTGTTTTCCCTTCAGGGAATTCAGACCTGTAGCCATCCTGTTTAAACTGTATTAAGTGGACTTACCAGGAGAAACAGGTTGTGAAGTAAGTTTTAGAGGAAGTCAAATGTCAATGCAATTTTAACTTTGGGTTTTATTCCTCGTTTCTGTGTGAGGTAAATCACTTACCCGCAAGCTCAAGTCAACCTGTTGGACAAGTTAGAACAAAAATACTGAGAGAGACTGAAAAACTTCCTCACAGCCTCCGTTACTGCTGGTTTATTTATTATAACAAAAATTCATCTAAACGAGCTCCGTCAGTTTGCAAAGTTTTACCTTCCTTTTCTTTTTTTCTTTTTTTATCAGTGAAGATTTGTTTAAGAAAATATACTTTCTTTACCTTTTTTTCATTCACCGATTAACTAAATTTTTACTAAATTTACCTAGAATCTACAATATGTATCTGCAGTATCCTAACTTTTATTTTACTTTTAATATTGAAGTAATTTTCTAATGCACAAGTTTAGTTTCCACGTTTGCACGTCTGCACATGTGTATGACATGGCACACACACGTTAAGAGGTAGCATCATTAACTTTAATCTAACATATCTGATCTCAGAACAGTGGAGGCCGAGTCAAGGGCAGTTTAGCTAGCTGCTAGCTGTAGCTAGCAAGTCACCCATCAAAATGCTGCTCCCCCTCTCTGCTTGCCCTCAAAAATGAGAGAAACTGAAGACTCAACTGATGGAAGTCAAGGTATCTTTCAGAGACGATAGCCTGCTGCCGCCACAAGAGGGCAGTAAATTAGCTTTAGCTTTAAATGGTCAAGCACTGCACGCCCTGCTGGTTCTGATTTGATTGCTTCTGCAATGGGAATGCGATCAGGAGTATTATACACACAAAGCTTCATTTTTATTTTCTGTCTTTTCTTTGTTTGAATCAGTGGTGGGAGAAGTACACAGTAAGTAAGTAAAAGTCGCAGCACCGGACAGTAAATATCTTCCATTACATGTAAAAATGAAGCATTTAGATACTTGAATATTATCAGTAAAGTGTGTATCGATCATTATTATTATTATTATTATTATTACTGATGCTTTAATGTGTATGCAGCATTTCAATGTTGTAGCTAAATTTAACTGCTTTATTTAGTTATGTAGTTTAATCTTTAAAAATGCATCATATTTTATAAGATCATCACTTTTTATTTCCCTCAAAAATGTAATGTAGTACAAGTATAAAGCAGAATAAAGTAGTAGTAAAAGTACAAGTAACTCAAAACTGGACTTGAGTACAGTTACATCCCAGCACTGCTGTGAACACAGGACTGTAATATGATTTATCTCTTCGCTGGTTGGTTTGGAGTTTAAAACTATATAAATTACACTGGGATGTTCTGTAATGCCTGTGCCAACAATGAAAAGGAAATCTACAGTAGGCAATTAAAGGATCAGGGCCACTAAAAAAAGGAGGGCGGACATGTCTTGAATCCTTTTACAAATCCCTTCTTCTCCTTTGTTTCGTCCATCGTTGAGCTTTTATTCTCCCTCAGTGGGGAGGCTGCTTTCAGAGCAGGTAGAAAAGCAGAGAGAGGAGTTGTGTGTTGTGCTCTCTCTCTCTTTCTCTCTCTCTCTCTCTCTCTCTCTCTCTCTCTCTGTCTCTGCTCTGTCTCTCTCTCTGTCTCTCTCTCTCTCTCTCTCTCGCTCTCAGAGGAAAACAGCTGTTGTGTCCAGGAGGAAACATTACTTTTTTTCCCATCAGGCTTTTTTGCCTGTGATGGACAGCGGTCTGGTTTTGGCTTGAGTTGCGATGTAGGATGCAGTTTATGGGCCAGAACGCAGCAGGGGGTGGAGGCGAGGGCTGTTTCTGTTCCTCTCTGCGAATAGCGAGGTCCCCCATGGCGGTGACCCCTCTGACCTCGTCGTGAGAGCGTCTGGGGAGAGGACCTGCTCCTTAACCCCCAAGTCCACTTTCTACATCATCCAGAGACCGACTGCATCTGAAGGATCTCACTGTTTTCTTTCAATTACAGATTCGCTTTCAGTGTTTTCCTCTGTGTTCAGTCATCGTAAATTATACCTGTCGCATTTTTACTTTTTTTTATTTTTTTCTTTTTGCTGTTTTTTACGTTCCAACGTCCCAGATTTCTTTTGCTCAGTCTGAATCACTTTTAACCTTTTTCAAATTTTACAATTAAGCTCATGCTGGTAGTCGGAGAAACAGTGGTATGAATGCATCAATATTTAGTCTGTCAGCATTAAAAGAGAGAAAATATATTGTCAATATTAACAAATATGTACCAAAATATTCACCTCATCATGTCATAAGGTGCAACATAAGCATGAATTACCTCAAATCTATACGATTTAGAAAGATTTACAAAGATTTACAAAGAACGCATCTAATTTAAGAATCCTTAACAGCTATAAAATACAAGTGTTGGTAATTCATTAAAACCTGGAAGTTCTTTTAGGTTCAGCAGCTCTTGGAGGCGCGGGTCCTGGAAGAGAAACTTTATCAGACATTTAATTACGAAAATATAAATACATGCCATTAATGTCTTAATGCATAAGTAAAATGTGCACAGAAAGCTTCCGGTTCAGGTTTCAGAAGGCGTGATAAGATGCTGATCTCTGTCTGAGGTGGTCACACTTGAACAGATAATTAAAGCTAAAAGTCAATTTAGAGAAAATCCTTCAGCAATCATTTTGATAATTGATTAATCTTTTTTCTGTCTCTGTGGAATTTAAAACTTTGAATTGAGCATTTTAACCATTTTCTCACACTTTAGACCAATCAATTAATCAATTAAATTGAAAAAATAATTAGCAGATTGATAGATTATGGAAACAATCTTCAGTTGCAGCCAGATATGTGAAATTAAATGAAAATATCTTCCCAAATCACTGACAGTCCAACACATTGACACAACATTTATCACATGTCGACCCTCAGACTCGGCAGTCAGCTGATTAAAGTTTTCACAGACCAATATCTTCAAGTCTCTACAAGGTGTCGGTCATTATTTTGAATCAAACACATTCACATTAAGCCTCTGACCCTCTCCCCCTCTCTCTCTGTTGTCCAGGCCTTTGTCTCCCTCTCTCTGCTGTACTGGGCTCTGCAGAGCTTCACTCAGCTGCTCAGCATCAAGAAGAAGGTCGACTGAGTCAACACGAGGCGACGCTGACTGATGTGCGGGGGAATTTTATCTTTTGAAGTCATAATAACTGATATAATTCCATAGAAACATATACTGACTCACCATAAACACTTTGTACAGCCTAATTTGTGTGTGCCATCCATCAGCTTCTGCTGGGTTTTTCTTTTTATTGGATAAGTAAAACAAAATGGTTCTTTCAGCTTCTGCTTGATTCATTTTCTTACTTTTAATGTGCAGCTGGTTAAAGACTGTTTATAACCAAAGCTTTATCATGAAAACAGTTTCATATCAAATGGTTCATTTCTTTCGATAATTTTGTTTTTCTATGTCTCTGCTGCTTTTGTTTAAAATTAAAGTAATAACAGAAGAGCTGCGGTGATAATGAATTAACTAATCAATCAGCATGTTTAACCTGAGCCACTATGACCAACTATACAACATATACCTCTTATAAAGCAATTGCTGCTTATACTGATGCCTGTTAATTTCCCTTTCAACTTATATTGTGATATTGCACAACACTGTACAGTATACTGTTTTTTGCATCTCATTGCAATAAAACATTTGTAATTTTGCTTTTCCAGTCTCCGTTTTTGATTTCCCTAAAATGCATAAAGGTCAGAGAGAAAGAAATAATGTAAAAGCAAATTGAAAGCCTGGAGGTTGTGCTGCGTGTCGGCTCTGTGCTGGCAGATCCTCCAGCCTCCAGATCGTGTGTGGGAGTGACAAACAGTCCACAGCAGATGGTGCTGTTATCCTCCGTCATGATTCTCATTTAAATCTGCCTCTTGTTTTCAAGCCGCTCCTGTCCGTGCTCATCGAACCTCCACATCACTGTAAAGAAAATCCACCGGGGTACTGAGGTAAAGCAAAAGCTAACATTTTCCAGTTTGAGGTCAAAAAATTAATGGATTGTAATTTCAGGTTCTTTTGACAGGGTGAGATTTAACAAGTGTTATATAAAATGAAAAATAATATGTAGATATAATTTATAGCATATATATTTTAATATAAAACAAAATGATGACCAAGATTCATCCCCACTGATACAGCATCACGTCTCCCTAAGACTTAATCGAAAGGTCTTCTGCCTCCACCTCTTACTTGCTGCAAACTGCCAATTATGTACAATTACATAACATCCACTGTAGGGCAGTGTGCATGTGTAATAATATTAATATCAGTGTGACACTGTGTTATATTGATGGTGAAAATATCACCGGAGAATGAAGGAGCAGAAGCAGGTGTGAATGTTCGAGATGAGTCATGTTAGCAGGTCTACAGATGGTATTACTCCACTGTGCATATGTGCAGATCGTTCACGGTGGGTTCAGTCAAATACCAGACATCTTAAATATATTCATCTTACAGATGCAGATAACATCTGTGAAGGACAGTTGGCAGAACAAGCTCATTTGGATATACATGTATACAGTGAATATAAAATGTAGTGTGAAGTTCATCATCACATCATCAAACACGTCATGTGACACTTTAAATCTCCAATTAAAACCTGCTGCTGCTGTTCTCGGTTCATCAGTGAAGTCACTGTCAGTAGGTTTCCATTAACCTGCTTCATTCGCTTTCATTATCCCTCTTTGTATGTTGCATTTGTTTCCTTTTATTGCATTTGTTTGTTGTTTGTATATCTTATCTTTGTATATCACATTTTTCTATGTATTTTATTTCAGAGGTAAATGATTGATTCCTTGGGTTTCAATGTTTGGCTGCTTTGATTAGATGAAATGGATAATGTTTTGAATAATAAAGCATTAAAAAAAAGAAAAAGTTCGCAAAAACCTCTCAAATATTCAATTATAGCCAAAAAACCCCCCCGCTTTTTTTTAATGCAATATTTCCCAAAATTGAAATGAAAAGCTAGCTGTTTCCAACCGACAGGAAGTCTGCCGGAAATCCATCATCACGTTTGTTTGGAATGATATCGCGAGAGGAGAAAACCTGGCTTTATTCGCATAATGTAACTAAGCGGAAACACAGACGCTATTGTGTGTTCTCGTTTCCAAATGAAAGATCGCTTTTTATTTTGCGCAAAACTACCATGGAAACCCGGATAGTGATTTGTATCAGCTATTAAAGCCAAACGCCCCGCTGTTACGTCACCGATTGGGGTGTGGCCAGATATTGAACACGCTCGAGGTTTCAACGTGGCTGCTTCTGTCCAAGCTGATGACGACAGAGGTCGGACTTTCATTCCTCCATGTTTGAAAAAAAAAAATGGAGGGAAAGTTAGTGTGTCGTCACCGGCCAAGCCAGTCACGACACCACACTGAGCTGGGAGCATCGTGGCTGAGATGACAGGTGAGTGGGTTTCTGTGTCTCCTGCATTTTAAAGCAGTTGCTAACATCGTTAACTACACCTGAAAAAGAACAGTTAGTGATTAGTGTAGTCCTCGTGGTTTTAGGATCATAAACGTTAGTGCAGTTTTTGTAAACTAATTTACCAAAACAGGAAACAACTACAGCTTTTAGGTCACCTGTTGCGAAGGCCTGCTGCATTCACGCTGTACATACAGGTAGAAAGTGAAGGTTAGCATGAACTGTGAGTGGTTGCAGTGCCTTGCTTAGGGGCTGTTTGGCAATAAATGCTGTATATTTGTCTGTCCTAAAGTTACCTGACCAGGTACAGTCACAAAAAAAAATACAAGCGTGTTTTATTAAACACACCTATATACAGTACATCAGGTGTTACTGATGTAGCACAGACTGAGATACAAATTACCATCAGACCCTGCCCACTCAAAAATGTATTTTACTTGTTAATAAACTTGAGTGTTTGACTCCCACTGTGGAATATACAGATGAACTTGTGTGAAACAGAGTTTAACACTTGGCTGTTTTCATATTCATCTGGTAGAATTTGTCTGTGCTCACTTTGAATCTGAATTTAAGACCCTACATGCTGATTTTGTGACATCACTAGTTTTTAAACCAGCTGTGGTCCAGCACGTAAATTACATTAAATGTGACATGGAAACTTAAAACCTCTTGTGCACATACTGTACACTCTTCAGTGACGTAAGGAGACGTCTTGTGTCTGGTAGCTAAAACTTTTTAAGTGACAATATTTGCGTAATCATTTATTCTAGATTTTCAAGGAGGTAACTGAGCTTTTTGTGGAAAACGATAAAAGACACTAATGATGAATCAAAGGATTGTATTTAATATGTCTTAAAACATGTCAGGAGCGGATCTTTAGAATGAAATTCATTAAACCTTTATTTGCAGCTCACTCGATTCAACATTTAGAAAAACGCAAAAACAATTGTTGCTTGTAACTTAAACAAAACAATCTTCTAGGTGCTAAAATATATATATACTGTATTTTAAAAACCTATTTATTAACCTATTGTATTTTACAAAGACGAGTTAACTGGAATTCAGGGATTGATATAATAAAAAGAATGAACTGGACTGGGTTTACTGTAATGTGTGGTTAAAGGCTGATACTTCAATTAATAGTTTGATTAATAAGAAAATCATTTTGCCTTCACAGTCACCTGATCTCAACCCAGCTGAACTCTATGGCAGATTTTGGAGCGAGGTCATGTGACGGCGTCATTAAAACACCATGAGTGAACAATCATGCTCGTCCCTCCGGTGCAGTTCAGTTAATCTTTAACAAAGAGCGTTAAAGCTGTTGTCGACACCTCCCTGAAACCACTTGATGGTGTAACTTCCCAGCCATTTTGTGCTTTATTACTTTATCAATGCAAAGCACATTGTGTCCTCACTGATTAACATCACAGTGATCAGGCAGTTACACTGTTTCAGGTTTACGTTCAGTCTATAAATTGTTAGTAGAGAAGCAGAGAGGGGAAGAAGAGGAGTTGTTTTTATGAACCCCTGTTGAGATTTCGAGTTTCACCTGCACACATTTGATTTGAGTCCTTGTCATATTGAGTTTAAACCAACTGAGAGAAGGAAATAACAGCTGACTAATGCTATTAACTCCTTGCCTTAAGACACACTTAATCTTTCTTAATTTATTACAACATGACAATATTATAACCGTGACCTGCTACAGTTTCTGAATAGTCTTTGGTAAAGACTAAGTGCTGCTGTGCGCATACTTTTCTGCTGTTTAATGATCTGTTGGGTTATTGAAGTGATCCACCGACGAGACGAGACGAGAGGCTGACATATTGATCGCCGTGTAGAAGGATATGGCCTTCACCTTTACATGAAATCCTACTAATAAGTGGTGAGGGAATTCTGCCCGGGGTCCCGCTTAATGGAACGAGGAAATGTCGCCGGAGAAAGACGATCAATGCGAGCGTCAATGAGAATTAGATCTCGCAGGGCTCGCTCTAATGTAAGAGGGAGCCAAAACAAGCCAGCACTCATTTCATCCTCCGCAGTCTAATGGCAGCTTTTTAACCACCTCTGAATCATCCGAGTGATACATCAAAACCAGTATTTCATTAATAGCCAGTCTGATGAAAGTGATGCCCGTAAACATCTAAAACTCATTTTAGTGTAGTTATGAATGTCTGAGGAGCTGTTCAAACAGAAAATATTTGCACCTAATTAGAATTTGTCTCAGTTAGAATACAAGATATTCATTTAGTGCATATTTATCCACTGCAAGTCAGTCATATTACTGAGATTATTTTCTCTAATTACAGCTGTTATAGGAGGAGGCTGCAATATGCAATATTTTTCTTACTAATGACAAATCCCATGAAAAGACCAAAACCAGTCGCTCAACACTTTTTGATTTCCTTAGCTCTCAGCTCCAAGCTCATTCATTCCTAAATAAGACATAAATCTTTAAAATATAGTTTAATTAAAAAAAAGTTTAAATAATTTGGACATTGTAGTATTTAGCAGAAGTTTCTTAAACGGGTAAACTGCATTTATTAGGGACTATTTTCAGCTGTGGACTAATACACATTTGGTGCTCTAGTGAGTCAGTCCTCCAAACTAAATGACCATATGGGTAATTTTTCCCTGACCTCAGATATGACCAATAGGAGCGTACCTGTGGCAGGCGGTACCAGTCCTTTGTCGTCATGGTAACGGCAATAAAACGCTGCAAAGGTTGTGAACTGAAACTACTTGGTTATGTTTAGGAAAAGAGGAGTTTGGGTTAAAATACTTACTTCCTTAAAGTTCCAAGACCATCGCAGTCATTACAATAATAAACACGTGGTTACGGTTGTGGAACGTCTCGGTTTAAACAAACAATGTTGACTATCGGTTTCAGACAGGACCGACACAGCGGTCTCCTGTTTGACAGTCCTGCGGTTTGTGGACTCATCCATCCACAGGACAGTGTGTGTGTAGGACTGAGTCAAAACAAACTACAGTGAAGGAACATTTCACCCTGTGTAAAAAAAAATGTGGCTTATTAATGTGCTGTAATATTTTCTGGACAACAGAGGAGCTCTATGGCACACAGAGGAACAACATACATCATGCTAGAGCTTCACAAGCAACAGGATAAATTCATTGTTTGTTTGTTTTTTTATGTGGTTTGTTGACAGTGAGAGAAAAATGG